ACTTTTAAATCCTCACTATCTTGCAACCTTGCAATCATTGTCCCCAAATCCTTGTAAGTTTTTGTTCAGGTGGTTTGCAGCTTTGCTACAGAGGATTATTACGACATAGCATATTTGGCCCCTCGTGTCTTTGTATCCTTGTACCTTTTTGTCCATGAATCCATTCAAAACTATGCCTATTGTATATGCATGTTCTTAACATTGTCTACCTTTCATCATATTACAACTTTTCAACTTAAAAGCTTTGTAAACTTTATTCCTAATTGTATGTTTGCAAGATTACACTTGCAGTATTGTTTATTTGTGGCATTGTGTTCATGCAGCTCAGACTAGGACAGGGCTTCCCATTTTATACCCGACTGCCATGGCACATGTGTTTCTTTCCCACTTTACACTATGGAGGATTATATTGAATTGGAATTAAATACATAAATGTGTCATTAAATAAACAACAAAAAACATAATTACTTCACTATTTATTACATTATTTCATGACCCTGTGTTGCAGTAGTACATTAATTAAATTTATCTAGTAAACTCACCCATTAAACTAAAGTGAGCGGGGCTAATGCTAATCTAGTCTAATTCATTGGTCTGAAGTAGCATGCCTGGAGAGAGACGATAGAGGACTGTCATGAACTTCCTAGGGAGTTGGTGAGAGACCTTTTAAAGCTACATAGCAAAGGCTATGGAAGAAGGACCTGCTGACCCACAGTACCCTTTGAACCCTTCCAACTTGTGTTCTTGAACATTGAAATTTTTCTTCATCCATTGGAGGATACATCATTGTGTCCTTGAGAGCTTTTGACCTTCTTTTATCCCTCTGAGAAGGACAAAGAGTGTTTATTTTATTTTTTGAAGAAGACATTTTCTGTTTTGTCCTTGCACATTAAAATGGTGAACACCACTGGATTCTTTACTTGCACATTAAAATGGTGAACACCACTGAATTCTACACCTGTAAATCGAGCCCTCTCTATCGGATGCTTTCATTTTTTATCAGACTTTGTGTGTAGCATTTAGTGTAGTTTTTTAGTGTGGTCATTCATTTTTGCTGATTTTTTTGTGTTGACCTTGCTCAGGTGGTGCACAGTGCACCATGGGATCTGTATTATAATCACAATCAGCTGACAGTGTTCTGTAGGCCTGTATTGGTGCCAGGCCTGGGGTCCGACTGAGTCAACTTTCTCAACTTATCAAAAAGCAGTCAATGAGTTAAAAACTGCTTCTCAGCCTATAAAGAAACTTTGTTTACAGACCATTAATGAGAGCTGAAAGAAAATCAAGAATGTGCCTCTGCACTTTATTATCCAGGAAGTGAACAGGGGCACATTTCACTCAGACAGGTTGACACAGAGACTCAGTGTCTGGTAAATTTTTATTGACATTGAATAGTTGACAGTGGAGTTGGAATAAATTAGACTGACTGCCTGACTAACGGAAATAATGACAGCTCTCGCCGATTGTATCCATCCATCTTAATAACCCAAATTACGGAGTAAGGGGGCGAAAGTGGGCGCTGCAAAACACCCTAGTTATTTGCAGAAAGAAAACAAACAAACAAAATTGAGTTCAGTCCTCTTCCTTCAGCATGTGCAGTAAATGTACAAGTGTATACTTAGAATTCATTGAGATAGTCATGTCTGCTTCCAGTACTAGTATTAATTCAAAGTTTGTTTTCTGTGCCAAGGAGTCAGTGGTAAATGTTTAGTATATTAGATGCTGTAAAAACAGCTGAGACATCAGCCCAACAGTAATTAGTTCATTTACAGTTTCCTTGTTTGAAATGTGTTGAGGTTTCTGTGGATGTTCTAGTTTTCTACCACAAGCAAAACACATACACTAATAGGTCAATTACTATGACCATCGTTAACGCTCTCTCTCTCTGTGTGTGTGTGTGTGTGAGAGTGTGAGTGTGAGTGTGAATGGTTTTTTGTCTTTATATCCAGGGTGTCCAGGGTGTGCCTCACCCTCACCCAGTGATTGCTGGGATTGACTCTAGACAAATAGATGAATGAATTAGGAATATGATGTTGGTTTAGGGTTAATGTTCAAGAACTAGCGGCTGACAGAAAGACATTATTTAATGAAAACTCTTTGTTAGAGTCTTGCAGTTATTTTGATAATGCCATTGTTTTTTGCTATTAATGTGTCACTTGGACCCATTGTACTATTAAGATCCCCTGCTACAATTTCTGACCAACAGAGTCAGTAGAAAGGAGAAAACTCACTCTGTACAGTGGAGGAAAAAGCACTGAAGAACCATTTAATCAATAAAGCATAGTTTACACAAGACTCCATAGAACAGGGTGTTAACCTGAATATTCAGCTTTTGTGTGATTTCTTGGATTTGGAACTAGAAGTCAGTGGTATGCAAAATGTGAAACAAGTCAATTAGCCATGGATATAACTGCATGTAGCTATATTTGAACTTTTGGATGGAACTCAAAATCCCCCAGGCCGCTGGGCTACAAATACCCAACCTTATTTTAAGCTTGCTGGAAATTAAACCTGTAACAATGTTTCCAAGCTGTAACCAAGATATCATTATAGATAAAATGAGAAAACAATTGCAGCTGTTCAGCCATAATTTGAAAATATCCAAAAAATATTAACTTTTAAACTGAGAAAATAAGGTGAACATCACTGCTGCAGCAAATGTTAAATGTGTGTTTTTAGACAAGAACTGGGGCTACAATGGAATTGGTAGCTGCACATTATCCCCTTTAGGTTTGGGTTACATGTTACATCTCCCCTCTGTCAGCTCTCTTTCCAACATGAGGCAGTGCTTACGTTGAACACCTCTCGGCTGTCTGTTGTAACTGTGAATCTTCTGTCTGTGACACCACTTATCTCAGAGAGGGAGAGAAGAGAACAGAGGTTTATGGTAGAGGAGAGACAACAGAAGAGTCTAACAGTCAGAGTCTGACCCACAGGGAGGATGAAGCTGTGTGAATCAGTGGGTGGAACAACAGCCAAGACTGAAGTTTCCTTCTGTCGTCTCTTACATCAAGGAAGCCACTGGGGGAAAACTAACAGCTGATGGAAAATAGAGCCAAAGGAGAAATATAATCTCATTTTAAAGGTCCAGCGTGAAACATTCAGGTTTCACACTGGAGATTTAACTACAGCACAAACCTCTTTCTACCAGTGTGTAACAATGTAAGATAGAATAGCTGTGTTTTTATGGCTATAAAATGCATTTCATATTTAATTCAACACATTTAGCAAGATGCCTCCTGGGTATAAAAATACCGGGAGATTTGGGAAAACAGTTTTGAAATATCTGACTGTCACTGTTTAATATATATTAGGATACCCAACACATGAGGAGAGAATGCGTGGATAGCTTTGATAGCAAACAAAACATACATATCTACAGAGACAGAAAATGTTTTTGTTTTATATGCATGGCTTTCACGACAAGTGTTAGAAGATTAAAAATTAGCTTTTACTAAAAGGGAGAAAACAACACAAAAAAACAAAAAGAAGGCAGAAGTTGGGTATACAGTACACTATAACTATGTTGAGAACAAGCTTGTAAGTAAAAAGAAAAAAATTGTAACTAAAGTTAGACCAGAAATAGCTGAAACACATTAACAGCACACATACCACAGCAAAAAGCTAAAGTTAACCCTAAACTTTTAATTAATTTGTAATGAGCAAATTAGCTAAAACGTTTAGCCTTATGTAGCTTAAACCTAGACAAAAACTATAATATTGCCTAAATTGTTTACCAAATATGTGAACTGAAGTATATTAAAAAAAATCTAAAAATAATGTTTCTTGCTACAACACACTGGACCTTTAAAATATAGTTCTGCAGTATTCGGTGCAATTAAAAGTACTGTAGTCAGCCATCATGTAAAAAAAAAAAGTATTTTCTTGAAGGAAAACTTAAATATATTTACTGAAACTATAACTTTTCACAATTTTTGTTTTTACGCTTCTATCCAACAAAATAAAACAACCACCAAAACTGTCTTTTTAAGTGCATTTCAACCATGGACTGAGGGACATGATCATCAAACAAATGTCTTATGTTTCAATACTTTAGACAGTAGCTATTGTGACTAGTATTTAATGTCTGTTACAGTGTTTCCTGCCCAGTGGTTGGACATTTATCACTTGGACTTAAAGACAATATATATTACCCTGGTAGACATACGGTAGAAAGTAAACAAAGTAAGTTAATCAAAATCACAAATTTTCCAAATAGCTTTCTTGTGATACTTTCCCACTGATTCTAAACACATAGCACTTTCTGTAAGGCCAACATATACTGTTTTTTTGTTTGTTTGTTTGTTTGTTTGTTGTTTTTTTTTTTGGAGTCAGCTTCTTGAAATCATATTTTCCCAAATTTTAACTATTTGTAGCTTTACCAAATCTACTTTACTTTCTAGACTATATATAAAATGTGGTCAGAACTAGCTCTGGGGATTTGTTAAAATTAGCCTGAACAGACACACTATGTCCTGTCTGCAAAAGTTAGACAATAGTTTAAATGATTCTTTTGTGCATTAGTAGTTGGTCTTCACCATAGAAGGAGCCTTCCACACATAGTAATGTTTCAATGAGAGCATTCAACGTGTGAGCACAAACTAGAGAAGCTAATCATCCTTATTTTGTTTAATAAAAAGATGTTAAGTTTTTTTTTTACCTTGACATTTCTTGTACATGTTCCAACAAAAATGGTTACAAGGGAATTAAATTATACAGTAACAACACAGCACACCTAAAACTAGGGATAGTTTCATACAACTTTTTCATGTCCGATATGATACTGCAACAAGTTAAGCATTTGGGCTTAGGTATCGGATCAACTAATCCTGAAATTTTTACCAATATTGGACGGATACTAACCCAGTATCAAATTGAGCCATCCCTAATTATTATATTATTATATGAAGGCTCTCCCTTAATTGTCTCTTCAGAGAAACAGTGCTGAGTAGAGCTCAGACAGCAGGAAGATATTGAGAACGCCAGTATGGTGAGCCTGATAGAGGGACAGAGTGAAAGAAGAACGGCTCTAATGAGCTCAGTGAGAGGGAAGAGGGCAAGAAAGACAGAAGGTATAGAATGAGAGGGGCTACATTTGTTTTTTGGTTTGTTTTGTTTTTGATGTTCAATTCTGAAAATTTGACCTATATCGGACTTATACAGATCCTGAGTATTAGATCATGGAGCCATACCTAATTGAAACCCTACTGCTTTTTTAGGTTTCACAGTGTGACGTGACGTGGCATTCAATTTGGTAGTTACCCTGCCTGCATTTGTAATTATATATAACAGGGGTAATGAATAATCAGCGCATTGTTTTCATATGTAACTTTTAAAGCACATTTTTGTAAATACACCAGAGGATGACTGTGAATATATGAAGTTATTACTGTGTATTACATACTAAATCATTCCAAAGAGATGAGACCTGGTTCTTGTGCTATTCATTTTATCCTGGTTTAGTTGGTGAAATGTATTAATCTCTCAATGTACAGAGCATGTAGTTCACCGTGACCTAGGCGTGGTGAAATGTAATGTCTCTCTTTTCTCTGTCTGAATAAAATTCTCATGAGTGACGGGAATTCACTTTTACTGCAGTGACGACTCTTTTCTCCTGAAATAAAAACAATTTTATAAGACAAGATTTTCAAAATAAAAAAACAACAGAAATATGTCATCTCAAAACACAATAACCAGTGTACCGAAGGGTATTTACAATTGATAAAGAGTTGAAGGTTATTTAAGACTGTGTGCAAAATTGACGGTAAAATGGAGAAGGAAAAAAAAAAGTTATTCTACATTTAAATGGTAATGGTTATCCTGGTCGCCTATCATGGGAATGGTCCCCAGTTTGAAACTGGGGGAAATATGTATGTTCTGTATTCCATGTCATTTGTACATTTCATTCAGTTCGTTAATGCTACATGTTGTCCATTTCTTAGGACGTGGGAAAAATTTCATTCTTGTGTTTGACAAGATGTGGAATTTCTTGTAAATGTTTGCCAAGAGTTGGTTTCTATGGGTTTCTGTGGTGTAGTGGATGTCAAGTTCGACTCACACGCGAAAGGTCCCCAGTTCGAAACTGGGCAGAAACAGTGTTAAATAGTTTTTCTTTTGTGTGGAAAAATACCGTACTTCATACAAAAGGCCAAATGCAAAGTATGTTTCACTTTCATTTTTTAGATGGAATCTTCTTTCCATAGTGTAGCGATTATCACCTTTATCAGATAAGAACTGTCTTCGCTTCGAAACTGCAGAACCAGATAGTTAAAATCTCTATCTTTGTGAACCATCCAATAGCTGATGGAAAAGACAAAATACAAGGGGTAGTTTTATTGAATAGTTACATGGCTGTGTGTTTCCCTAGTGTGGTGGTTATCACGTTCGCCTAACGTGCGAAAGGTCCGTAGTTCAAAACTGTGCGGAAACATTTTTTGTTTACCTGGAATATTGTGTTTCTCTTCTTTTGGAATCAGATCAATTCCCCAACCTTTGTTATTCTATGTCTGTTAGTTCTAATATAGCTAACAAGGAATCCATTAAAGGTTGGACAGCACTCTCAGCTTGACTATCTATTAGGAGATTTTCATTGTTTTATTGTAGCTTATAGAGAAAGTTAAATAAGTTCTGGATCACCACGACATCGCCAATTTTATATAAAACACTTTGCTTTTTGAGTATGTTCTATATTTCATGTCATTTGTACATTTCATTCAGTTTGTTAATTCTACATGTTGTCTATTTCTTAGGACGTGGGGAAAAATTTCATTCTTGTTTGACAAGATGTGGAATTTCTTGTAAATGTTTGCCAAGAGTTGGTTTCTATGGGTTTCTGTGGTGTAGTGGATGTCACATGTCGCATGTTTGCCTCACACGCGAAAGGTCCCCAGTTCGAAACTGGGCAGAAACAGTGTTAAATTGTTTTCCTTTTGTGTGGAAAATACTGTACTTCATACAAAAGGCCAAAGGCAAAGAATATTTCAGTTTCAATTTTTAGATGGGTTCTTCTTTCCATAGTGTAGCGATTATCACCTGCAAGAACAGTTTTCAGTTCGCAACCACACGCAACCAGATAGTTAAAGTCTTTGTCTTTGTTGTGAACAATCCAATAGCTGATGGAAAAGACAAAATAATTTTTACATGTATATGTGTTTCCGTAGTGTAGTGGTTATCACGTTCGCCTCACATGCGAAAGGTCCCCAGTTCGAAACCGGGCGGAAACATTTTTTTTGTTTGCTGTCATTTACCTGGAATATTGTCTGTTTCTTTTCTTTTGGAATCACCTTTGTTTTTCTCTCTTAGAACTCACAGCTTGTGTTATTGTAGCTTATAGAGATAGTTAAATCAGTTCTGGATCACCATGAAAAACACTTTGCCTTTTGAGTATTTTCTGTATTATATTTCATTTGTACGTCTCATTCAGTGCGTTAATGCTACATGTTGTCTATTTCTTAGGATTTCAGAAAAATGTTATGCTAACTCTGGCCTTTTTTCTGTTGGGTTGTTGCATGCACCTATTAATCCACGCTTACAACCTAATATCTGAGGAATGAAGGTAAAGCTAACACTTAGGTTTACGTGATTTGTCAAGAGAAAGCTAATCCAACATCCTTCAAAAAAAAAGCCTTCTTCCATTGGCAGCATGCTCAAACGACCAGAACACACACATATATATACCCTCCATTTATTTATTTATTTATTAAAATATCTGTTTTTTATTTTATTTTCTACATTTTTTTTAAAAAAGTAGGGCAATCTAAAAACAATATAAAAGATATTTGGTTAAACCCTATATTGTTTTTTGCAGTTTAAATTTTTCTGGACCATGCTTCTATGGAACGTTTCTGGTAATACTGTAGATAGTTCTATCCGTTTCTATTCTGTTCTGCTTTATCCGTTTCTATTTGAATGGAAAAACCTAAACAATAATATACAGTATGTAAACTGTGACTTTTCAGATGTGTCAGTATAAGTAACACAGACACATTAGGCTGTAGTCTAGACAATTTTCAAACTGAAAGTAATGAAGGACATAGAAACCATGTGAGATTATGATTTCAGACTTTAATAACAAAATGAAAACAAAACTGTTGAAGCCTAAAACTAAAAATAATTGCTTTCCTAGAAGAGAAAGAGAGCATAGAAAACTTTATGGGGAAAAAAATCCCAAATGAGAAGAAAAAGGAACTTTTCAAATTGAAACAAAAGCAAAGGATAATAGCAGTCATTTGTGGGTATAAATCAAATTTACACTGCTGACATTTCACACACACACACTTTGATTAAGTACTAACATTGGAGGTTAGAATAAAAAGGAAAATAAATTGGGTTCTTGGTTTTTGGAGCCACGACTATCTACAAAATGGAGTACAAAGACTCTGTGTGTATGTGTGTGTGTTTACAGTAATAAAATACCTCAGAGCCAAAGTGGCAGGACATTGAAAATTACATCAGCTCCTGTTTGTAGTGAAGCCTCATTGAATTTTTGTAAAGATGCATTTATTCCACAAATGGTTTGGAAACAACATCCCACATATTTTTTTTCTGAATTAGTATTATTTTTACAGTACTGCAGGCTTAAAGGAAATTAACAATGCAAAAAATATTGTCCCCAAAACACTTCATCTCTGCGACATCGACTGTTCTGGTCATGAAGGTGTTGGACTTGTAAGCGATAATGAAAGAACAAAAAAGTGACTTGTAAAATAAGGCTGGAAATTTGTGAAGTGATTGTACTGTCGTAAAAATAATTATTGAAAAAGGCTGCGATTTTGACAATTATTACTGTGCCTCAATTTTTGCTTTGATCTTGGAGGCTCGCTTCTCCTCCTTTATCTTCCGTCTCTTTTCCTGGAAGAAAGACAGAAAAAGGCAAGAATGTCACAAATCCTTCATACATACAGTAGAGATGATATAATGTTGGGAAAAATAGCGAACCTGTTACTTATTAGTCAACGCTATGTCACAAATGTATGTGTCATCAGTATAAGTGAGGGTAAGTTCACTCCAAATTATGCTGAGAGTTAGCAAAAGCTGAAACGTAGCCAGGAAGATAACTGCTAGAGTTTATCAGAATAAAAAGAAATTATACAATCGACAAGACAAAGAGAGCAAAAATTACTAAAAAAAAAAAAAGTATTAGGAAAACTGGCAAATAACCAAATAAAGTCGAAATATAATCTCAGAAGAAGTTAAAAATCTATCCTAATATTTAAGCCAAAACAAAACAAGTATGGTTGAGAGTTTTATAAGGAAAGCAAAGTAAACCAAATGATTGGTACAAAGCGTAATGTTGTTTCAGCTAGATGATTAAAAAAGTAGATAATAATAGTTGGTGACAGTTATAAATGAATACTTTACACCACAAAGTCTGCATCTGTTCACCAAACTTTGACATTGGTAAAACGTGATCGCACCTTTTTCTCCTGTTTTTGAATTTTTTCTCCTGAGCAAGGTTTGGTGACAGTGAGGGTTTGCTGACACTCGACGTTGAACATGGCCTTCTTCAGTGTTGCTGTCGTGGACCGAGAGCCAGAGTCTAGATCACACTCTCCCCAGCTTCCATATCGATACTTACAGTCAGCTAAAAGGGGAAAAAAAAGAGGTTTTAATCCTGGTGTACTTCAAGGTTCTATAGTAACTTTATTTGTAAAGTTGTAAAATTAGTAAGTCTTTTTAATAATCCTGGAAGCACATATTTTTGTGTTTAGGGTCAAACATTTGTCATTTCTTTAAACTATTTGTCCATTAGAGAAGAACATAACGTTGTAGAGCAAGAACATTCAGTAATTACAAGGTTTTTTATAATAATTAATCCTGTTAAGGTTATGGTAAATAGTCAGTAGATTTACCTCGGGTTGTTCTCTAAAGTGAACTGTTCAAGCTAGTAGCTAACATGCGCTAAGAAATCACAATCATGACCAAGAAAACCTCAGCTGATCATGGCTGAAGATGCCAAATTGGAGAAAGAAAACCTCGACCACATGTATTTCCTCCGCACATCAATATTTCATTTTTCCACTGGGCCGTTCTCCCTATGTTGTTAATCAAGGCCACTGGATCCCTGACCTTCTACATTGTTACCACTGAAAACTATCTGCATCCTGCAATCATTACAATTACCTCCCCTCGTCCGGAGCTCCCAGTGGACCAGCGTCACACCTTTGTCACAGAACATTTCTCTCACTCTCTTAGAAACACATCACATGGTTCAACAGTGAGCGGCCTACATGTTCTCTGACCTGCAACCAACTCTTTATGCCAACACATCATCTATTTCACACTTGGATGCCGTTTAATTCTATTCATTGTCCTTTTTGAGGACACTAATGTGTGTGGAGAAGTCAGTGTTTCACTGACCATTATTAGCTCCTTGTATCAGCTTATGTCAAGGTTTTTTTTTCTTTGCTAGCTTTAAGTTATTTTTGCAAATAATTATTCTGGCTTTTAGCTGCTGTGCTAGTTTTTTAGTGATTTTTAACCCTTGGAAAATATGTTTTATGACTATTGAAACTAGGCAATTCAGTCTTACCCTGTATTATAAAATTTAAATTTGATTTTTTACAAAAAGGTAATAATATTTTTCAGAATGTTGATTTTGGTTTTGAAAATAACGAATAGTTATTTTAAAATATATAATCTGGTTTTCCAGAACGATCATGTGTTTTGTAAAACTGTTAGTGTATTTTTGAGAATGTTTTTTTTTTTGTAATGTTAATAGATTTAGAAAGAAAAAAAAAGTTTTTTCCCAAAACAGACAAAAGGTCAACGTAAAAGAAAAAAAAAACAACATTCAGTGGTGCTTCAGCATGTCATTTATTATATCTTTATATACTGTATGTCCCTTTGTTGTTCTGTTGTACGTTTTCTCATAAATAACTGTCTTCTCCTCAGTGCCGTCATCTTAATAAACCTGAACTGTCCCTCAGAAGGCACTAGTGATGAATCAAGATTAGCCTGTTCAATACAGCAACTATTTCCTTTGTGCAATTATCCAGATCAGGCGTGTTTGTGTGGTTCCCCTGACCGAGAACACGGCATCAGTGCAGCTCTGTAAGTGAAGGGCACGTTCATTTACAGGCTTCAGGCTTCTGTAAGACCGGACCATTATAAACAGACAGGGCTGAATCAATTAGAGCTGAAGTTCATTGACGATGTGACAAGACTAATTGCATCTTCATGGCGTCACACAGTTGTACAGCTGTATAGAAATACAGGGCTGTTCCTGGTGTTCTGCTTTGTTTCTGTTGCCTCTCTTCACTCTAATTGTTTCTGGACCACATCCATCACATCACTAACAACAACTGTCAGCTGTGTGTGCATGCCTGTAACAATGTAGGAAAATACTGCTGTGCTGCTCTATTGAAATATGCCATAGCGTTTTACACCATTATTTCAGGATACATTCACAATGTGTACCTATGTTTGACTAAGATTTTTATGTACTTTTTTGGGATTTATGGATAATATTTTTAATAATTAAAAAGTTGTCTTCTTACTGCTTTTGGTAAAATTTTAATGTATTAAATTTGATGTTCGTTGTACTTATTTTTTGGCAATTGAGATATTTTTAGACTAATTTTTTTAATTCTATTTTTATTTCTCACCATTTAACTCATTATAATTAATAGCTTTTGTGGAACTAAATATAGCCACAATGTAATGTATAGTCTTTGATTATTTTTTAGCTTTATTCTGCAGTTACGTAGTGCTATCATTTGATATTGCGCTATTTTATTAAAGCCAATGTTTAGTCAGCTTTGTCTGTAAATTTTACTTGACATTTACATGGCATTTAAAGCATTCGTTATGAAAATTTTAGGGTTAATTAAGGTGTCACGTCTCTTTGCAAGGTGNGATGGGGCTGTTTTTTAAGAGTAACTTACCTCCAAACTGCTTCTTCCAGTTGCAGGGCACTCTGCACTTCATCTTCTTGGTCTGTGTGTCACATGTCCCGTCTCTGAATCCTGCTCCACAGTCACCATTGCTGGCCACACAGCTGCTGTAGCTCCATTTGCATTTCGCCCCAGGCCCTGAGGGTTTGTTCCTCTCTGAAGACAGAGCCAAAGACTTTAAACCAGGTATTTTCACAGAAAATGTTTGATTGGAAAAGCTTTTCTTGTTTTGTTTTTGTTTTGTTGTTTTTTTCAAGTTTACATTTAAATTTGTGTTCAAATCTTATTTTAAATAGTTTTGTATTTTTTTCTAAAATTGTAGAAAATAAAAATACTAATCATCATTATTTCATACAGCTGTTTACCAATTCAGATTAATGGGTTTTTAAGCACAGTCCATTCACTGGTCACCAATGGTACTGCACCTTCAACTCCACACACAGATGGCTTTAAAAAATAACATCACTCCCCAACTTTGACACTTTGATTTGACAAATTGACTGCACTTATTCATGTATTGGACAATATTCCAAAGTGGGGTCTTTGGGTGAGACAGAATAGAGAGATTCCCACCTTTGTTCTTTCCACCAGCTACAGTGGTGATGGCAATGACACAGAAAAACAGCAGCAGCAGTGCAGCCCTCATCCTGTCAAAACAAAACACAGAAACACACACCACATCACGAGGGGATCAGCTGCACCTCAACAGCTAATGCAGTAAATGTTGTCCCTCAGCCCAGGGTCAGCTGATGGACAATCACTGACAGCAGCACTCATCATGTTACCAAAGCCAAAGAAAAACCTACAGGAAAATAAAAAAACATCAATGATGTGAAGTCAGTCAGCAATTGGTTACCTTTTTATCAAAAACCAAAATTGTGTCTTTTAAATGAAGTATGTGCTACATGTACTTGTACATGTACTTGTACCTTCAGTATTTTTTTTACTTACATACTTTACTTACTTTTTAATTTTTTTACAGTATTTTTTTCTGTCTGTCAAACTTGAAATTCAGTTCAGACATTCTATTAAACAAAGAATAATGGAATGAAATAGAATAGAATAGATAAACACAAAGAATGAATTCATTACGGATAGAGAGAACCTGATCGGATGGAGCAGAGCTTGATCACAACTCTTTGGTTTTCCTGAAACAAGTGCTTCTCCTTTATTGATTCTCAGAGTTGTGCTTATACTTATTGTGATGAAAGAAATATACATTTGTACTGCGTACTCACAGTACTCTCACTAAAATGGCTTATCAACAAAGTACAAGGCAAAAGTAAAGATGTTTTTATGCTACTGTCGATTTCTTAGTAAGAATTGTAAGCAGTGATTCTTAAACCGGCGTTCTTCCGCTTATATTTTTAAGTCAGTTTCCACAGAGATTGTACGGATCAGTGTGGAGTGGATGTTTCATACACACCAACCAGGGCTGCAATTATGCACCGCTGCTCTAATAGTCTGTCCAGGGACGGGAGCTGAGCAGCAGCAGCAGCAGCAGAAGCGCAGCAGCATCCCAGGAGGAAAGAACTGTAAGCTCTTCCAAGATCAACCCCAGCAGCAGCAGTGGGAATAAAGACATAAGGATCTCAGTGAAATGATACAACCTGAATATAATGACACACTGATGTGGGCTGTGAGTAACGACTGAATGACTTCATTCATCCAATCCTAAAATGACAACTAAGGACTTTTACAGCTAACAACAACTTATTATTGGGACCAGAAGTAAAGGTCAAAGATCAACACCATCGATACCAGGTGGAGATGACCGATGACCAGAGGGTTAGTGTAGGTTGTAGGTTAATATTTGTTCTTCAAGATGCTTGGGACAACTGGACTTCCTGTACCCAGACATGGTCAAGAGCCATGAGCCAGTATTTGAACACATGCTGTGTGTTCTAGTTATCAACGACTGCTTTCATACAAATGTCAACGATATTATTGAATATGTTGACTAATTGGCCAGAGATAAAAGTAGCATAACAACATTTCCAAAATGTGCGGCTCTGTAAGCAGCTCGTGTGACTACTGATAACAACAACGTCCGTTTGAGCTAATGGGTAATTCTGAGACACAACACTGATTTTCCCTCCAAACATGAACTTTGAAGTTAAATTATTTCGCAACTCAGAGCGACTAATTCTAAACATCTGGTTTTCAAAAAGGTTTTTGATGTCAGTTATTTTGAATATAAGCCTGTTTTTTTATTCCCCTGCAGTGACTGTAGTCACCGTGGGGGGTGCGAACCACTGAGGATCTCTGTGGTCATCAGAAGGCTGAAAACCACTTCCCTTCTCTGTTCTTTATCTCTCTGTCACCGCCTGCAGGCCCATCTGCCAAAAACACAACAGAAGAAGAAAGAAAAAAACCTAGAGGAGCATTAGTCCGACTTCCTTATGAGGAGAAAAGCTGACAAAGGAAGTATTTCTTCGGGGTCAGTGTCAGATGTTATTTTTGCTGGAATAAGTGTTCCGGAAATAAAAGAGAAGAAGAAATGCCCCCTCCTCCCCTTCTTTCTGTCAGTGCAGGAAACGGAACTGACCTACAGCCGTTACCAGGTGCTGTCATTCAGAGTTGAGCTTTGTTGTGGCTTCTATAACCAGATAGAACAGGTCTACAACACAGGCTGTGGCACAGATGTCTTTTTAAATAAGATGTCAACTGGACTCTGACTGTTGGCAATGTGAGGTTTGATACTTGATGGTGTCGTGAGTGTCTTGTTTCTGGGTCAGACCATTGGTCAAATGAACAAACACTATATTGACTATGAGGAAGAAATATGGGTCACTGATTAGTCTTTAATTAATAACAGCACCTCTCCACCTATTGGACCAGATTAGACACAGTTGCACCTGGTTTTGTTTATGGCCCAGATGTTGGTCAGATGTGGGTCACTTAAGTCTGTCATTTACTGTGGTATGGTGGGCCAGTGAATTTAGTCTCTAGGACAGTAAGGGACCTAATTTCTGACTAAAAAAAAAAGAGACCCAGAACTTGATTTCCTAATGTGGCCCATATTTGGTGTCCGTAGTTTGGGCCACATCTTGCATTTGAAATAATCTGCCACCAGCCATGGCTACCATGCACCAGTCTGAACGATTCATCCAGAGTAGATCACTGGAGGCTTCTACTGTTCAGCTGTGTATGTTTTTGTGTGTATTTTATTAGTCCTGGCTCAGACCAATGGGACTAAAGTATAGAATATTTTAAAAACGTGGCTGTTGGAGGTGCTGCAGGTACTGTTCTATTTTAGTTGTGGAGTAAAGTGACTTAGTGTTAAATATTAATGACTCAGTTTAAACATTGCTTTGTTGGCAGATTATAATGAGCATATTATGGATTATTTATCAGGTGGTATGTATCATAGGTATTTGATGGGGGGGGGGGAGTCCTGTGTCCCACTTTGCTAAAATCGCTGACTCTTCTGTGGAATTTGTCTTCAATATTGTTCCTGTTCACGGTACAACTGCTCCATGAAACACTCTCCTGAACTGTGGCAGGAAAGTATGGCGTTTCAGATGTATTTGAATATATATATATATGACTACATAAATACAATATCAGTGCTGTATGTCATGTTGTCTGTGGTTTGGACAGAGGACATGATGTAATATGGACCACACGTAGGACAATAAACAGGTTGTGTGGCCACTGGCCCAGATCTTATCCAAGCCCAGCAGTCCAAATGAATGCAGCCAGGACTGTAGTGGTATATAGGAGATGGTCCACCTTAGTGATCGGAGTATTGAGACTGTGGTATTGATATATATATATATATGGATACTCACAGAGGTTTTGATTGAGTATTGATTACTCTCATAAAGTATTGATACAAATTCATCAATGAAAAGAGTCATTTACTATTTTAACCTTAATGTTCAGGACTGAAGTTGATCAATAGGTAGATCAATTGGTAGCAACTAAACTAAATTTAGGTTAAATTTAGGAAAATGCCAAATAAATAATTGGTATTGCATCGAATAAAACAAATCTAGTATTGCCCATCACTAGTCCACATGGGGTGCCTAGGATGTGCACCACGTTGAGTATAGAGTATGTATAGTATACATTGAGAGTTTTGAGCTGAATGTAATAAAATCGTCAGTAATTCATATTCGAAGACATATTTAGAAAGTCAGTGAATAAGAATTAGTAAAAATCTTTAGATCACAGACAGAAAAGACACACTTTTTGTCCCGTTTGATAGTTGACTTATAAAAGTGCTTTGCTTCAACTGAACAAGGATTACAACTAACAACATGAACTCAGCTCATAATGAAAGGAAGACAGAATGAAATTCTGCAAGCATGTTCATTCTCTAATCTCACCAGCTCTGCTTTAATATCTGCTGAGAAGAAAGAAAGAAAGAAAGAAAGAAAGGCCGTTTATGGTCCCCAGCTTCCACAGTCTGAAATTTGGAGTTGGTTCAGTGCGTTACAAAGAAGCTGGTGACTGTGTGTGTGTGTGTGTGTGTGTGTGTGTTTTGACTCTGTAATTAGGGATTTTGACAAGCAGCCGAGTGGAAATGACTTTTTTGTATCAGTCCTTGTGTGACCCAATAACTTTGCTGGACAAAGAAAAGAGGCAGAAGAAGAGCCGAAGAGAGAGGTTGTGTACTGTTCACACACACACACACACACACACTAACAACACACAAAAGCCACACTGGCAGGCTATTTTTCGACCGGTTAAGAAATAGGAAATAAAAACAGCTCCCAACATCTGTTTTTTGTCAGCAGATAGATGGACTCAGCATTCCCGCTTAGATGACTCAGCTTTTCAGCGGCTCCTGCTTCCATTGACGAGAAGGAGAGCCAACCCGACACCAGAGTGAACTCCTGCTGCAGGAGGCAAACCTCTGCAGGTATGAAACACAATAATGAGACAGTTTTTACGCCGTCACAGACGTTCCATCATCCTGAGACCACATGACTGTGACAGTGTCTGCTGTAATGAACACTTTAGATTCTAGGTGCAGAGCAATCCTGCAAAATCAGCTGCACTCACATTCAACAGATGTATGGGCTGAAAATGTAATCATTTGGAAATTAGAATCGTATTTGAAGGTACATGAAGTGGAGATGCTGCGACTTAACCGGACATTTTTACTTATTTGTTCATAGTATTAAAGCTAAAACATGGGACTGCAATTGCCAGTTAACTCTCACCAAGTCTGTGATAAAGAAGACTGTTTTGTTTCCATTGCAACTTCGATACTGCTAAAGCAGGATGTGTTGAAAAAAGTGTTGAGGAATTATGAAATAGATTTGTTTACTCAAAAATGTAGGAAAAAAGGTAAATTTTCTTTTTAAAAAAGAGCTGCAAAATTCTATGTAAAAGGTTTGGGTTAGTGGCTCTTTGAAGAAAGAATAAGAACTCAATAATAACAACAATAAAAAGACAAACAAAATATACCTCGAATGTGGCCTCAAGAAGTTAAGGTCTATTTAAATGTAAAGCACAGCTAACCCAGTTAGCCAACGTACTGCTAAAGCTCTGATTGAGCCACAGCAAACATAACTTTTGTCTGAATTGTGGTCAAAAATGTGTGTTGATATGTGACAATACTACAAACATGTCAGCGGGACAAAAGGAAAGAAAAGGGACTTTTTAATATAAAATAATTCTTGGAGTGTGTACTTTCATCAACTTGTTGCTCGACTTGAAATTTCTGTGTTTTCTGACATGCAACACGCTTACCAAACTGGTTTAGACTTGTAAAACACAGTAAAGTGCAGATTGTATCATTCTGGCAAATGATGGCAGCCTGAAGTCTGAGGAGGAGAAAGACAAACGCCCCCTAATGTCTAGATTGTGTTGGAACAACAGTTGGAAACTCCAGTGGTCACCATTTTACCTCCTGCCAGGCCCTTTAACCTGATACCAGATGACTAACGCTAACCACTGAAATATTTCTGTTTTCACTTTGGCCAAAGAATCAGAAATGATTTTCTGCCTCATGAAGACCAGAGTCTGGAGAAGACCACTTGTTTACAGCAACAAAAAACCCTCCTTAGCGTTAGTAAACAAGTACAAACACACACACAGAACACAACCAAACTACAGAAGTTGCATCAGCAGAGAAGCAGAGAAGCAGGCATTTTAATCATCATTTAAATCATTTTTTCCACGCATTTTCATGTCTGCAAGTAGGAGCATGCACACACACTAACACACATCATCACATTCACACAATAAACTGCTATTTCTGCGTGTGTGTGTAAAAAAGAGCTGACTTGCATCATTTCCCAATGTTAGGATGTGAGGAAAAAAGCCTGGGACGTGGCACAGCAACGGCGACAATGACATAAAGACTAATGAAAAGCAGCAGGCAGATGATAAACAGCATCCAGAAAAGTTGCTCTAAGCAGCTGGGTTCAGTAAAAAAAAGTTGTTTTTAGTAAAAAAGTTAAAAAAAACAAAACAGAGAAGAGACTAGTTCTTTTTTCATAAACTATCTGACAGGCTATAAAATCAACACCTCTGACCTGGAGAAACATTAGGAGCTTTTATAAAAAATCATGTGTAAGTTCAAAGGATAAACTTAGTTTAGTAAATAAACAATGCAAAGGTAGAGAAGTACACAAACAATGTTATTATTAAAGTTATCATTATTTTTACAAGATGGTTAAATATTTAAAAAAAAAAAACCCTTACTTTTCCTGTTGTTGGTCAGAGCAGCGTCAGGGGAAAACTTCTGTCTCTTTCTGGTCTCCTCTCTCTTCTCCTGCTTATGCACCTCCTCTAGCCCCCAGCTTTTGTCTCCTAAACCAGTTCATTCTGGTTGCATTAGCCCCATTCTCCCCACACCCTCAAAACACACACACACACACACACACACACACACACGCACGCACACACACTGGCACACACAAACATGCAGACAGAAGAATTCAGAGACAGCAGACTCAAGTCTCTGCAGGCCTCTGAGGGCAGAAGCTGCTGGTCTGGGTTTCATTCCTGACTGTTTGTTCGTCTTTAACACTCGTCTCTGTGGTGTTTGTTGTTTCACAGTTCCTCAGACGATCAAAGTAAGAAAATCCCATTTGGGCATTTGTTGTTCCTTTTGATGGTTGTGTAGCTCATCATATCAGGCAAAACATAGACTTCCATTATCTTATGCCCAGATTTCAGGCAACGTTGAGGGGAAAAATAACATCTTGATTATTAAAATTGATCAGAGAATCTTATCACGAGGATCACTTTAAGTCTGTGTCTGTCCCCTGACATAGATGCATTTTACCTTTAAAGTACCTTTTCCAGTGACGTGTAGGACAATAAAGGTAAAACAAACAAACATTGAACCAAAACATTGACTGTTTCCATTTTTTGTTTCCTAGGTCAGATGGACGGACAGCCTGGAACCACCATCTGAAAGTCACTACTGCCATTGTGAGTTGCTACTGAAGAAAAATCTACCATGGGGGATGTCATCATGCAGATATGCAGATAGTCATAGAGTTTGGTCAAACTAAAGTCATGGGATCGATTAGTCAATGATCAACATCGAACATGTACTTAAACCCAAACAGCTGTGTAGACCTTCGGAGGAACAGGCCAAGTAAGTCTGCCACCAAAGTGAGGCTAGGGACGACATTTTCTCATCAAAGGTCATTCACCATGGCAACGCAGAGCAGGCATTTGTCCTGTGACCAAGATTTAAAGCAGACTGATGTTTTACCATCTGCTGTTCAGCTCTTAAAGGAGGCACCCAAATAAAATACAAACACAAGACCCACCATAAAAAAACGCCCTCTAAAAACACAGAGTGGTTCCTTCTGCTAAAAAAAACAAGTCAGTGGGACCCAGGTACTCCCCCCCCGAAAAAGAAACCCTCCAAAAATAAGTCCACATTGAAGTATATATATATGTACCTAATAAAGTGGCTGGTGAGTATATATATATATACATATATATATATATATATATATATATACAGTATATATATATATATATATATATATATACTACATATATATATATATATATATATATATATACAGTATATATATATATATATATGTATATATATATACATGTATATATATATTCCTGGCAGCGCCCCTTTAGTCTGCTGTAGTAGAAGACTGTCTGGGGCTCTGGTATTTTACTTGATACTGCATTGACAAATACCCAACATTTTTACCAAAGACGACAATCTACTTTGAAGCATTTTAATTCATACCTGCCAAAGATATGCCCTGGTAAATTATCCCCTAACAATGGATCATTTGGAAGACCCTGTTTGTTTCCATTGTTTGTTGCTGTTTGTCATGATCAAAGACCTCAGTCAAGACAGGAGTCGTTCCAACTAGCTGATTACAGGGAGAGACCACATCATGTGCACCAGGGTTTCATCATTCAGGTTCAAAGTTCTGTGTTGTATTTGTCTTGCAAGTAGCTGTTATAGAACACACAAACTTTATTGTTAAAAAATACAACGTCTTGTCGGAGGACTGTTGGGGACATTCTGCACCGTTGTTTTTCTCATGTGACATACTTTGTCTTACCACCCCTATGACTAACTCCTTCCTGCTGCCTCAGAAAGTCAAAGATCTTTTCTCAGTAGTGCAGCTTAAAAACAACTCTGTTTTTTGTTTTCAAAAACAAAACAAAGTCTTGTTAAATATGTGACACAACCAGCGAGGAAACATCAGTGTGTGAAAAGATTCTCTCCACTCTTGTGAGGTACAACATGCCCCCTAACTGTTCCTTTGCCCCTCAAAAAGGTTTAAGGAACATGTGTTCCCAAAACAAGGGTCATTTCATTTGTCCATGTTTTAAAACAGCTTCCCTTACCTCCTGCCACAAATACCCACAGTACACAACTCCAAGCCCAACTTTTCTCTGATGTTGTTCATTTGTTCCTTCCAGCATTTATCCACTGCCTTCTCCTCTATTATTGATCACCTGTCTGACCAGTCCTGCCTCTCTTCGTCCATCACGTACTCCACACTGAGTTTCCTCTAAACTACCTGTCTGAGGTCTGGACTTCTGGATCACAACCTGTAT